TAAAACATTATTTGCTACATTCCTCCATTTTAGGTGTCTTAAGTTGAAATCCCCCAGCAGCAAGATATTTGAGGCAGGAGTTGGAAGATTTTTCCAGACAACGGTGAATTTTCAAAAGTTGTTCCTTGAATTGTTGGGAAGTTGTAACCGAAGTCTTGTATACAACCAGGATGACAAGGTTTTGGTTTTCGATCTTAACTGCCAAAACTTCAACTACGTCAATTGAGGTGTTTCGTAGTTCCAAGCAAATGATTGTTTCTGACATGTACAGGTGTATTTTCTGACTCCCCACTTTCCACAGCACTTGTACTAACAATGGTGCCTCCACCAGTTTTTACTGGTCGTGTATGTACACTATTTCTCGGGGCATCATCCTCGTTTTTTCCGTCTCCAGTAGTACAGCTATTTTGTAACTCTGGAATTCACATATTTTTGTCTATACTTATTTCCCCAACGCCAGGATCCCCATACCCCTCCGGTGCACTAACTTTCATTTCTGTATTCTTACACATACTGTCCTCCAAGACAGCACCAGCACCAGGGGTGACAGCTCCATCTAGCCCACTCCTTTTATTTTCCCGACTGTTATACAAGGCTGTTAAGTTTTCTAAGAAGGTTGTTTTGGTGTTTGTCTCTTTTAGTATAGATGAAAATTTTTTCCCACAGGTGGCTATCATTTGGGCAGACCCCATAAAAATTCCTGATCCTAAGTGGACAATTTTTGAATATCTACACATAATCCATAAGATCATTTTTCACGGCCGTTGCACACAACCCAAGCTAAAGCCCAATTGTTCCTGCATTTGCAGACCACACAGAGTTGTATTCAAACAGCTTATAATCTACCCACACCACCGTATGTCCTCGGACCAAGGGTAACACACGTAGCTAGGCAGTGTGCTTATTTCTTGTAGGATTGTGTGGTCCTGTAGTTTAGAGCATCATGTGTGATTTTCGCTCACTATTAGGCAGACCAAAACGACATGGGTTCGAATTCTTGGCTAGTCGCAGTATTGATATATATATTTATATATATAATATATTATATATATATATATATATATATATATATATATATATATATATATATAACCAAAGTCACGAAGCTTGTCTAAAAAACATAAGACACCAAGTGGTAGATAATGCTCTCCATCAGCAGACGAATCTCGGGATTATCCAGAGTAATCATGTTATAGATAGTAAGGTTGAACTGTGATAAACATGAGCTGTGTTTAAAAAAAAAATCCTTTGTACAGCATCTTGTAACGAGAAACAATTGAAAGCACATCTGTGCTCGCTTTAATACACTTAGGTTAGGTCTTAGTTTTATGATGGTCAGTAGCTGGCTTACCGGTTCACCCCTTGAAAAAATAGCTATAATATAACTATATATTTTTACTATTATTATCTAGGAGACTTGTGCAGGGAATCCCCCGTGTAATCATCCTTCCTCAGAAAAGATACCAATTATCCCAAATTATCCAATCATATTTTGTGAATTGTCATTATCGTCTAGTACACAAATTTGTTATATGCATGAAATTTATATAAAATAAAGATATCCCTAAGACAATACGAGCATCCATAACTGTTTCTTATATCTTAAATTATAGTTTATCTTGTACCTGGCGACTACCTTTCACATCAGTGAGCAGGTTATAAAGTCTCGAAGCATCGTTCATGTATCCTCACTCGATCACTGACCCTCGACACCCAGTACAGTACCACTGATTATTGCCGTACCAGTCTTGAAGGTAAGAGGGCCACGAGTACACTAGGAAACAACACAGTAGGCGTCAGGGGCACAAGACTGTTTAGCTGCCTCCCAGCATACATAAGGGGGATTACCAATAGATCCCTGACTGCCTTCAAGAAGGTACTGGACAGGCAGAAAGTTTATTCAGGTATACACAAATACAGTTACATAGAATTATCATACATAGCAGCATATGTGTAGAGAACCTGCGATAACCCAAAAAAGTCAGACAGAGTGACTTATTTCCATTGGGGTCCTTTTACCTTATTATTATAATATAAAGGTTATAATATTTTCTTATTATTCTATAATGAAGATAACATCTTATTATCATACTAAAAAGACTATCTACTACACGAGGGTCATTAAGACTATCTACAATACGAGGGTCATTACTAGGAATAAGGTAAAATTTACACGTATGTTAGCTAAAAAATAGAAAATCATTCCCCTCCCTTTCTGTAGCTACATTCATCAGACACCTTTTGACACTCTTCTTGAACTGGTTCATGCTATGACTGGCTTTGACATGTGTGGGTAGTCTGTTCCATTCCTTTATTGCTGTACAATAAAAGGTGTTTGAAGCCTGGCCACTGACTGTGGGTACTACAAAGTTGTGCTCTCTCCCCCTAGTACTATGATTGCTTTGGTTCCCAACCTTGACAAAATTGACAGCAAGATATTCTGGACACTGTGAGCAATTTTATAAACATGATTTAGCTTCAATATTCAGCATATCCAACTGCTGTAATTCATTCTGGCCTACATGCTCTCTTGGTCCCAGCCCCAGGATGAATCTTACGATTTTGTTCTGGGTGATTTGCAGTCTATCTTTCAGTTTTTTTGTCAAGGCAGAGTACCATGAAAGGTAAGCGTAATCCATATGGCATTGTATAAGGGCTAGACATAAGGTCCTGCGAGCCTCAGTAGGTAGACACTGTGCTTGTCTATACAGGAACTTCAGTCTGGCATTCGCTTTCTTTACTACACTGTTCCCTATCAATTCTCCTGACATGCATGGGTCAAAGGGGATTCCCAGATATTTTACTGATGAAACCAAAGTGATGGGTTCCCCATTACACTGGACATTAAAATTATTTACCCTTCTCAGTTTATGTTTCGTGCCAAAGAGAATGGCTTCAGTTTTCCCGAGATGTAATGATAGTTTGTTGTCTACTAACCATTTGCTGCAGGACTCCAGTTCCAGTGTTAAAATATTAGCAATATCTTTTGGGTCTTTACCTGACACTGTCATCTGCATACAGTAGGAGTTTGCACTTGACACTGACAGGCATGTCATTTACATAACATAAGAATAATAAGGGACCCAGAATACTACCTTGGGGAACTCCACATGCTATCGGCAGGGGTTCTGATTCCGTTTTGTTGATTTTGACAATTTGTCTCCTGTTGCTAAGGCAGGACTTAAACCAGTCTACAGAACCTATACCGATAGCTTGAAGTTTCTTACATAATATATTGTGGTTGACAGTATCGAAGGCCTTTTGCAGGTCTAAGGTTACCATACCTATGATAGCTATAGAGAATTGTCATCATTAAGGTATTTAACTACTTGAGAGTACACCGCCCTCTCTAGAATTTTGGATATTATACTGAGTATACTAACAGGCCTATAGTTGCTTACATCAGACCTACTATTTTTCTTGAAGATAGGAGTAACTCTGGCCTCCTTGAACCCATCCGGTACGGTATTAGTGGTGATTGATAGATTTATTATGTGAGCAATAGGGAGTGACAGTTCAGAAGCACCATCTTTTAGGAACTTAGACGGGATGTTATCAGGGCCTGTGCTCTTAGTTGGGTTTAACCTGCTTAGTTCTTTTTGAATAAAGTCATGAGATACACTTACTAGTTGACAACTGTTTGGGGTTACCCCTTTATTGGTATAGTATGTTTGAAACTTATCAGAGTCTGTGTTAAAGGTATTTGATGCAGCTGGTAGTTTACTTACTAGTGTTGATGCAACAGATGTGTAGTAGGATTACTATTATAATCAAGGGGGAAGCGCTAAACCCGGAGGATTATACAGCGCCTGGGGGGGATGTGGAAGGCATTCAGGCTTAATTCGGGGAACTGGAGCACAGATCCAATTCCCTAAATCAAGAGCCCCTCACCAACATCAAGGAACCTTCCTTGAGGGGTGTGTAGTAGGAATTAAAGCAATTTGCCAACTTAGATGTTTCGTGGCATACCTCATTATCGATAGTGAGTACTATGTTAGACCTATCTACTGGCTTATGGCTATACCCCAACTGTTTTAGCTGTTGCCAGAGCTTTCTGGGGTTATGCTTATACTCTTCAATTTTTGAGCAATAGTGCTTTGCCTTTTCTCCTTTTATAAGTCTCTGCACTCTGTTCCTCACCCTTTGGAATTCATTTAGTGCTGCAATATCCTGTCTGTTTGCTTTAAATCTTTTTAGCAGCTGGTCTCTGAATTTCATATTATCTAATATCTCAGTAGTCATCCAGGGTTCAGTTCTTCGTTTAATCCTGACCTCTTTAACTGGTGTAATATTATCAAGGATGGTAGTGAACATTGTTTTGAATTTTTCCCAGGCATCATTTACGTCCGTGCAACTTGTTATCTGTCCAGTCACAATTGTGAAGCCTATTTACCAGTGTTTCTTTACTGTAGTTTCTAGTTGACTTCATTTTTATTGTCCTTTGTAGGCCTATCCTATCCCTAGTGATTTTCCTGGTGCAGTAATGATGAAATGAAACACTAAAAACCTGTGGTAATGACGCCTGACTGACTAATGTTCTCAGAGCGGTTTCAAGTATGTGGTCAATTAGGGTGCTGAGAACTGTGTGATCCGGGTTGGTGTATTAATTAGTTGAGTGTAACTATTTTTAACCCAGAATTGCTTATACCTTTTGCATAGCCCGTTATTTTACTGCTGAAAACAGATATTGAAGTCGCCCAGTATTATTGTCTCGCAATTATTTTCAAGTCCGGACAAGACTCTGGAAAAAGTCTTCTAAGAACTTGTCCTGGGTAGGAGGGCGGTAACTAGTTCCTACTAAGATGGGTTTGGTCTTGGGAAGCAGCACTTCAAACCATAGAATCTCCAGTTTATTGTTATTTAAATCAGGGCTTGGGTTGTAAGCTAAGTCATTTCTAATGTAGGCACATACTCCACCACCCTTTCTGTTCCTATCTAAGCGTTTTATATTGTAACCATCTATTTTGACCTCGTCGTCAGTCACCGTATCATCCAACCAGGTTTCAGAGATGGATTATAACTAGCGCCCTAAAGTCAGTACCTGACTAGCCAGGCGCTGGTTCGTACGTCAGTTTGCGTGCGGCCAGCAGAAACAGCCTGATTGATCAGGTCCTGATCCATCACGAGGCCTGGTCTCCAGCCGGCCCGCGGGGGCGTTGACCCCAGAAACCCTTCCCAGGTAAACTCCAGGTAAGGTTAGATGTCTTGAAGGTCAGGTTACACTTGTAAAAACGATTGGCATCACCTCAACTATTCCATTTATTGTTATAAATGTCAGTAATTATTATATATATCTTTTTTTCTAAGAAAGCCTCGTCTTGACTTCAAATACCTCTGTATCGCACTGACAATGCCACTGGCAGGCGAAAAATCTCCACACGCTCGTGTTAGTATAACTTGTAAATGGTACCAGTCGGGGCGAAACATCGTCGTAAGTTTTTCTCTTCTATGTGCGAGTTATTTGGGTAAAGATACCCAGGTGTTGCTCTTGTGTGATATTCATCACCTGGTTATTGTATACAAGATTTCAAAATTTGAAGTTAAGAGGACGAGGCTCTCGTATTATGAGCAATATGAAGTGGACGAAGGAAGAGGAAAGAAAAATCTGACGGTCATTTTAGCTATACTACAGGTTTTACGAAATACAATGTCTTTTTAGGGCTTATTTGAACATGATACTTATTTTGTATAAGGTGACTGAGGGATACAATCCAATGTTGCAGATTCTGGAGAGGATGAGGAACACACTGGCCTTCCTGGTCTGCCTCGCAGGTAAGCAAAGCGGTTCCTGGGTTCCTTCCATGATATTTCACGGGTAAGCAAGTTTCCTTTTAAAATCTAAAACAGTCTAAGTTATCTTGACCAAATTAAATCTCTACTGTTAAAAAGTTTGCCCATTATGTGTAGTTCTCATTTTCATTTTGTTTACTGCATATATATATATATATATATATATAATATATATATATATATATATATATATATATATATATATATGTAGGGAATTACCACCTCTATAGCTGGAATGGGGACCCTCATCCTCAGAGAAGACAAACGCACCTCAGGGAAAACTCAAGGTTCTCCCCGGAGCTGTTTGAATATTTTCTTCTACCACCCCTGTATATTTTATATTCTATGTGAACATTTATTAATAAACAGAATACATTTACAGAAAATACAAACATGAATACAATGACACAATGTATCAAAGATCATGAATTTCCTCCAGCTCCTCCGAGGCTGGATGCGAGTCAAGTATGCAGCAAGCATTTCCCCTCTGGATGGCTACGCTGAGGCGCAAGAACATGAACGTGGCTGCCCTTGGGTCCCTAGTGGTGTCGATGAGTCTGGAACCCAATTCTTTAAGGAAACGTGTGGCATTTTTTCCCCATGATCCCAAGGTCTCTGATCCCACTAGGACAAATTGATACTGTTGGCTAATGTCCCTGTACTTGCTGATCTTGTACTCCTCCCTGTGGTCAGCAGCTCCTCCCTGTCGCCCCACACTGTGATGGATATAGGTGTCAGTCAGTGTGGACACACAGGTATAGTCCCATGCTAAGAGCTTGCCATTCTTCCAAGGATAGATGGTGATCCCGTTGGGGCGGTTTGCTGAGTGTGGGTATTGTTGTCTGTTAGTGATCGGGGCTCCCTCTCGGCTGGGCATCCAGCTGTAGCAAGGGTTCTCTTAATGATGTCGTTGACCTCATTGTCTTGCATGCCAGCCCTTGGTTTTGGAACAGTTAAGACCATGTAGACCGTATTGGTCTGCTTGCGCTTCGCCGCAAATACACGTATATTCTGTGTGAATTGGGGCAGCAAGGCGCAGAGCCACTGCAATACGGAGGGTCTTAGGGTCGAGTCGCGTTCCCATTGCCGATATGGGAACTGTTTGGAGGAAGTCCCCGGAGTGAGGTGAATTAAGTCAATATCGCCTCAGTGGTGAAAGGGAATATTGATAAACAATATATGGCGTTATGATAACCATCATTTTGTTTAATAAAAATGGTAATGTGGCACCAACAGTCCACTAACAATGTGATCCTTTAAACACCAGTGTTTAAAGTTTGAAACTGGTTAGAAAATATCTTCATGTCATCGCGTGGAAGTAAATATCCCAATTTCTTCGGTTAAATTGGTAAATTTATACCTACACACCCTATTTCTAATTTCAATCTTCCACTAAGGATGAGTCATAAACCCATAATGTCTGAAGGCGATCAGAAGGGTTTGTCTTATTATTGTCACATGATAACCAATATCTAAACATATTTATTAAAAATAAGCGAATTTGCTCTTACAGAGGCTAATGCTAATCCGAATCTTGTTTAAAATTACGTGCACCAACATTCTAAGTTTGATGCCATTCAGATGAGGCATTCTTAAGGTATCACAGAACAAAGTTTATATGAGCTCCTATTCTACTGTTCATTCTATTGGACTGAAGAAGTCACTGGCTGGAGAAATGTTTCCAGAATAATGATACCGAAGGTACATGGAGTGGGAGGAGAAATTTTTTCCTGGATGGGGGCATGGTTGACAAGTGGGCAGCAGGGAGTTTGCATGGGTGGGGGGAGGTTGGAGTGGGGAGGCGTCACGGCCCCCTGCTGTTCACAATCTGCATAGGCGACATGGATGAGGGCATAGGGAGCGACATGGGCAAGTTTGCCGATGACACCAAGGTGGGCCGTCGAGTTCATTCTGACGAGGACGTTGGAGCGCTCCAGGAAGATTTGGGTGGACTGGTGCAGTGGTCGGAGAGGTGGCAGATGCAGTTTAATATAGACAAATGCAAAGTTCTAAATGTTGGACAGGACAGTGGCCGTGCCACATATAAACTAAATAATGTGGATCTTAGTAGTGCGGGTTGCGAGAAAGATTTGGGAGTTCTGGTTGGCAGTGGTCTAAGACCGGGACAGCAGTGCATGGGTGTTCGCAATAAAGCTGATAGAATCCTTGGCTTCATATCAGGAAGCATGGATGATGGGAGTCCTCAGGTTGTTCTTCAACCCTGTGCATCCTTGGTTGGGCCTCATTTAGATTATGCTGCACAGTTTTGGTCACCGTATTGCAGAGTGGATGTGGGTGCTCTGGAGGGTGTACAGGGGAGGATGACGAAGTTGATCCCATGTATCAGAAACCTTCCCTGTGAGGATAGACTAAGAGCCCTGAATCTGCACTCTCTAGAAAGACGTAGAATTAGGGGGGATATGACTGAGGTGCATAAATGGAAGACAGGAATAAATAAAGGGGATGTAAATAGTGTGCTGAAAATATCTAGCCTAGACAGGACTCGCAGCAATGGTTTTAAGTTAGAAAAATTCAGATTCAGGAAGGATATAAGAAAATACTGGTTTGGTAATAGAGTTGTGGATGAGTGGAACAAACTCCCAAGTACAGTCATAGAGGCCAGAACGTTGTGTAGCTTTAAAAATAGGTTGGATAAATACATGAGCGGGTGTGGGTGCGTGTGAGTTAGACCTGATTAGCTTGTGCTACCAGGTCGGTTGCCGTGTTCCTCCCTTAAGTCAAGGTGACCTGACCTGACTAGGTTGGGTGCATTGGCTTAAGCCGGTAGGAGACTTGGACCTGCCTCGCATGGGCCAGTAGGCCTGTTGCAGTGTTCCTTCGTTCTTATGTTCTTAAATGTCGCACAAGTGTCTCATTTATGATCACCAGACCAAATCACTATCTTTTTCTTTTTTAGATGTTAATATGTCACCTACACAGTCCAATAACAATTCATATTTTCTTCGTATATGATATACTTGCAGAGAAACTTCAAGATCTTAAACCATTTTCCAAAGTTACCACATAAATCATCATTCTAATTTCATTAATGAATTTGGTACTACACACATAAAAGACTCAGAGCCAGTCTCTGAGATTCAGCACCGTTGAAAATGCCAGTCTGATCAGAAGTTGCGCTTTCAAATTATCGTAAGCACACCTGAGAAGGAAAAAAAAATAACTACTATAGGTTTTTCCTTCTGGAGGATACATGATGTCGATGTGGAGCGTTGAGCCACTGCAGCAGTAGCAGCAAGTGTTGGTTTGAGTAAGCTTGAGGTACTAGTTAACGAATAGCATAATCTCACTTGGACCACTGAATTTAGTGGTAGCTGCTGCCATGGAATGTTGGCCACATCACTCTTCTGTGTGTTATTACATACATCTCGCAGAGCCCCACCCAAGTGCTGGTACAACTGAATGTGTCGCTTTATGAAAAAAGTTAAATTATTTTCCCTTATGAATAAACAGACAAAATCACTCACTGTATCCGGTATCGACTATTCAGGAGAATGTTAAAGTTGAGTGTATTGTTAATATAAGAAGTATCGACTATCTCCCATTTATTACCTGGAGTTTACCTGGAGAGAGTTCCGGGGGTCAACGCCCCCGCGGCCCGGTCTGAGACCAGGCCTCCTGGTGGATCAGAGCCTGATCAACCAGGCTGTTGCTGCTGGCTGCACGCAAACCAACATACGAGCCACAGCCCGGCTGATCCGGAACTGACTTTAGGTGCTTGTCCAGTGCCAGCTTGAAGACTGCCAGGGGTCTGTTGGTAATCCCCCTTATGTGTGCTGGGAGGCAGTTGAACAGTCTCGGGCCCCTGACACTTATTGTATGGTCTCTTAACGTGCTAGTGACACCCCTGCTTTTCATTGGGGGGATGGTGCATCGTCTGCCAAGTCTTTTGCTTTCGTAGTGGGTGATTTTCGTGTGCAAGTTCGGTACTAGTCTAGCTACAGCTTTGGTGGCAAATAGTTGTAGACTTCTCCAAATTATTTTCATCCTTTCCGTTGTATGTGTAAACAAGGGCGGGCTTTCCTGGGCACTTCTGGCTGACCACGTGTGTTCCACATCGTTACTAGAGTCTACAACCCTTTTTTTTTCTCATTTGTATCACTATGAGACAACTGCATACTTATCTGGAGACAGCGAAAAGCATCGTGTCAAATAGAATTAAATCCATATTGTCGGTAGTTGTTAATACCTTTATTATGAGCCCCAAACTCATTCTGTGGGTGGTAGTCAAAAGATTACAGACTCACGTAATGGGTCCAGGGACTGGGCAACAAAGTTTTGATAGCTGAACAAGTTACAATGGTTATGAATTATTTACATGTTTATTGTCGGTATCAAAACACTTTCTACCTTTCTAAATAAAAGTTTGTTACTACCACCATTGTGTAGTTTTGCTCTTTGAAACTTCTTTGTCCGGTGTTTTCAAGATATCATAATTTAATTTCAATCTCTCTAAATTTCATTCTTGCCTCTCTCCTCTTTTTTCATTCATTCTACATCTCTCCCTGTTTTATTCTGAATCTTTCTTATTTCAAAATATCCTTCTGCTTCATGGCGGTTCCTACATGTTATTATCTGATATCATTCCACTTTACTAATGAATTACTCTTCACAGGCGCGGTGAACGGACAAAGTAGTATCAGGTCTGGCAATGGCATGCAGTGGGGTGACTGGGGACCCACCGAGTATTGTCCAAGTAACTCCTATGCCACCGGTTTTGCGATTAGGGTAAGTAAAACTAATAACATTAACCGGATAAATTTCAGTGACTGCAACAGAGAGATTTATCCCCTGAAGCGTCTTGCCGATCAGAGAAAAAGTCTAATGAATTTGTAATGGATCAGACATTTCTTGCGTGTCTCAAAAGGGCAGATGTACAAATAAAATAATAAAAAATCGAGAATGGTGGCTAAGACCCAGGGACATTTCTAACCTTCGCTTTTACTGAGGAATAAAAGTGTTGAAAATTTTAGGTGTTCAGTAAAGGAATTCACAAGTTATTGCATAGAAATGAAGGAAGCGAACAACAAACGACTCAGACTTGAAGAATTTATTTGTATATTGTTGAGTTACCTAATTTGTTTTCTCACTTCTAGTTAACTATTTATATTTTCCTGTAAATAAAGAAGATTCATAATTTGTTTTTTTGAATCTAATTTGCAATATGGCTGATGCATATAATAGGTTGTCAACGTAAACATTATTACTGGCTAAAACTAATATGTGTCTGTTCTCTGCTGCTCAGCCTTCAAGTTAAATCCACATATTTTTTCATTAAGTGATACGATCAGCAGTAAGACTAAGATTTTCTTCCACAGGTGGAATACCCGATCGATGGAGATGACACAGCCTTGAATGCCATCCAGCTCTACTGTCGGTCAGGGAGCAATAATGAAGTGGGCACAATCACCTCCAGTGTCCAAGACTTTGGAGAATGGACCGGTCAGTTACACTGAACGATTAATATCAAGTACTTTCTGAGGAAATATTTGTGTGTGTTAGTGTAGACGCGTGAAATTATAATGAACGAATAATATGGAAGAGGGTAACACTTCTATAATATTATGAGGACTCAGTCTGAGAAGAGAATAATTTCATCTTGAAGACGTTTTCAACATTTTCTTCCCCATAACCCACGTTAACATATTTGAGTAATAATTTAGTTTCTCACAGTAAAGTTGGGTTGAGGTTTATTTAACATTCTCATAGAAATGTGCTACAAAATTTTTCAAGTTTGGTGAGGATTCGTCGCCAAGCCTAGAGAGAATATAAGTCCACGCAACCTGCTCGTGTCTCAGCTCTCAAAATCGTAATAACACGAATGCAAACAAATCATGGAATGAGTGAGACTTGAACCCATGGCGAGTGAGTCCTAAAACTCAATGGCCTGTGAGTTTTAGGACTCACTTCTCATAGGTTCGATCCCCACCCGTTCTGTGATCTGTTCGTATCTAGCAAGCTCAGGCTGGACCATAAGCCTCACCAGGCGAGCAAGTTTTATAAGTTGCTAACCTAGATTATAGGGCAATATATGTAGACAGAATAAACCACTATCCAATTATCCATAGATCACACTACTGGTTATTTCATTGTATCTTAGAGTATTAGCGATGCCAGACTTATCTGTTAGCTTAAGACCGTGGTCTAGCTTAGAGATATACTTATGTATGAGTGTATTAATGCATACAATTTAAGGTTGCTGTAGAAAGGAGAGGAGTAAACTTTAACTTTTGGTCCTGTCTCGTGAATTTCGAGTGAATTTTTTAGTTCCATTATATTTCCATTTTAACCACTGACTGGTGCAACTTCACTGTAGTTGTCTTGCATTTTCCTACTCTGTCTCTAACTTAATTAAGCACGTAGCTTCCATCTGTCAACTCTCGTGCCGGAGCTTCCACTGCTTACGAATTTTGTCTTTGTCCAACTTTTCCATGCCACTTGAATATTTCATATGAAGTGGTCATATTGGATTTTCAGTAATTTGCCAGAGAATGAATTCTAGCTGGGATTTCCTCGTATGTTATATCTCCTGTTTTCTTATTTCCTTTAAAATCACAAGGTTCTATTCCTTTATTCAATATTAAGCTTCTCACCTCTGGCACTAGGCTTGTTGCGAATTTTCGTAATTTGTACTTTTTTTTTTTACATTACTCATTAGGTATAAGTTCCAGACAGGTGTGAAAACTTTGTATGTCACATCCTGAAACCATATGGGAAAATGACAAAATCATTAATAGTTATGTATAAACAGAACGTCTCAGTGTGTCAACCATTATTATAAACACGAACGAAGGCAGAGGAGATATGTACTCAACAAGTGCACGGCGAATAGTATTAAGTGTTATATGCCCCCTCCACGCGCTCCTTTAAATATACTACACAAAAGGTAATCTCCAGATACATCAACAACATAAACTGACCCCAGAGACAAAAGTCCAACAGAGGGAGGCCTCGCCGGCCTCTCAACAGGTCCTTGATGTCCTGTCTAACGATCCTATAGTTTCAGACTCATGCTATATCCTGTATTGTGTCCTTAATCATATTTTATCTAGTTTGTGGACTAATTCCTAATAAGGTTCAGTGTCAAAAGTTCTATTACAATCAAGGAATAGGCAGTCCGCTAACACTTCTCATTCCTGTTTTGTCTGTCACCATGTTCTAGAACTTGATGTAATGGTAGGACCTGACTATCCTTCTTCAATCATCCAACTCGTACATCATAATTATGCTTCACCTGAGTAGATATGACTGATGTATGATGATTACGGTCCTGTCATCATACCACTTCCCTTACAGTATATTCGGTCACCTTTTCAAATAAATTTTTTGGTTTTATAATGCTGAATATAATATCCAAACGGTAATTAATTCATGTCTGTATTCATAAATCTACTTTTACATAGACACACAGAAAATACCGGCAATTAATTTTGTCAACCAATCACCATCGTGATTGGTTGCTAATTCACTCATGAAAATAGTCTTAATTACTCTTTCTACTATGTCTGAGTTACCAGATATTATTTCTGCTCAGGAGAGAGAGTAGAGGAACTTTTCACCGCAACTGTACATTACTTATTTTGAAAGGAATTGAACACTACTTACACTGTAGAAACAATTTAAAAAATGAAGGAAAGAAGATAATATTATTATCATATAGCATGTTGATAAACATTTCTTTACAGGCAAACGCCAATGCCGTAACGGCCGCTTGAACGCAATTAGAATGCGTGTTGAGGGAAATCAAGGCGGCAATGGTGACGACACAGCCGCCAACGACCTGGACATGCGCTGTGAGAACGGTGAAGAACTCAGAGGAGGAGGAACCGGCTGGGGAACCTGGAGCTCCTGGCAAAACTGCCCAAGTGGTGAGTGACTACTTTTGTGTAGTGTTGTGAACCTCACACCATCCACAACACTTAAAAAGAGCAACACCAAACTGTATCTCGTGTATCGCTATCTTTAGTAACATTTTCAGTAAATTTTTAGCCCACTACACCACAAAGTGTTCCAAGATATCGCGAACCACAGTCCTGGGAGGTGGATGATGCCTACCAACGGGAACCCGATCACAAGTTATTTAGCAAGGTCCACCCCGCCAGTTGCAAGTGACTCATCTGGCGACCGCCGAAGAAAACCTTACAATCCTGTGTTGCAGTGGACTAATGCCACTGTCGGTAATCATAGACGGCCGTTTCGAATCCCCACCATTCCACTGAGTTGTTCCGTTCTTTCATTGTGCGCTTCAAACACGCTGACAAGCAACGTAGAAAGAACAGGAACTAGACAATCACTGGATGCTGGCGGAATCGAAGATTTTTCCCAAACACATCCAGTAAGTCTGGCTGAAGAATTCTTAGGACTCTCTGAGGCGCAGATGGCTGAGACACCGAGCTGGTAATTCTAGGACTGACAGATTGTGGGCTTGAACCTTACCACTCTTTGTGTACTCCCAACAGCATTTTAAAAAATTTATATATTTATATTATATATATATATATATATATAATATATATATTATTACAATTATAATATATTGGTTATAATATTGCTTTTTCATATATTTGTAACAATTTTATTGAGATAATGTATAATGGTTATAATACAAATGCTAATTTTCAGTGATTTTTACTCAGGGGTTATAACAAAACATTTATTGGATGATAAATGGTATGCAAATAGACAAGAATCAAAAATAGTTCAAAAATCAGTAAAAAGCGATATTCATCACTACATTTCGCCCACCATGTAGACTTATTAGTCACAAAACATATTGAAAGCAAACTTATTAAAACGCTACATTATAGCAAACTTTATCCAGAATCACATTATTAACCAATAGTTATTACAATTATTAAAAACTAATTATAAAAAAAAATTATTCCAATACATTTAACCAAGCTACATTATTAACCAAACTACATTATTAACCAAACTACATTATTAACCAAACAAACATTATTAACCAACTACATTATTAACCAAACAATTATTAACCAAACTACATTATTAACCAAACTACGATTATTAACCAAACTACATTATTAACCAAACTACGTTATTAACCAAACAACATTATTAACCAAAAACTTATTACATTATTATAACCAAGCTACATTATTAACCAAACTACATTATTAACCAAGCTACATTATTAACCAAGCTACATTATTAACCAAACTACATTATTAACCAAACTACATTATTAACCAAACAACATTATTAACCAAACTACATTAACCAAACTACATTATTAACCAAACTACATTATTAACCAAGCTACATTTTTAACCAAACTACATTAACCAAACTACATTATTAACCAAACATTATTAACCAAACTACATTATTAACCAAACTACATTATTAACCAAACTACATTATTAACCAAACTACATTGTATTAACCAAGCTACATTATTAACCAAACTACACTATTAACCAAACTACATTGTATTAACCAAGCTACATTATTAACCAAACTACGTTATTAACCAAACTACATTGTATTAACCAAACTACATTATTAACCAAACTGCATTGTATTAACCAAGTTACATTATTAACCAAACTACATTGTATTAACCAAGATACATTATTAAACAAACTACATTGTATTAACCAAGATACATTATTAACCAAACTACGTTATTAACCAAACTACATTGTATTAACCAAACTACATTATTAACCAAACTACGTTATTAACCAAACTACATTGTATTAACCAAGCTACATTATTAACCAAACTACATTATTAACCGAGCTACATTATTAACCAAACTACGTTATTAACCAAACTACATTATTAACCAAACTACGTTATTAACCAAACTACATTGTATTAACCAAGCTACATTATTAACCAAACTACATTATTAACCAAGCTACATTATTAACCAAACTACATTATTAACCAAACTACATTATTAACCAAACTACGTTATTAACCAAACTACATTATTAACCAAGCTACATTATTAACCAAACTACATTAACCAAACTACATTATTAACCAAACTACATTAACCAAACTACATTATTAACCAAACTACATTAACCAAACTACATTATTAACCAAACTACATTAACCAAACTACATTATTAACCAAACTACATTATTAACCAAACTACATTATTAACCAAACTACGTTATTAACCAAACTACATTATTAACCAAGCTACATTATTAACCAAACTACATTATTAACCAAACAACATTATTAACCAAACTACATTAACCAAACTACATTATTAACCAAACTACATTATTAACCAAACTACATTAACCAAACTACATTATTAACCAAACTACATTATTAACCAAGCTACATTATTAACCAAACATTATTAACGAAACTACATTATTAACCAAACTATATTATTAACCAAACTACATTATTAACCAAACTACATTAACCAAACTACATTATTAACCAAACTACATTATTAACCAAACTACATTGTATTAACCAAGCTACATTATTAACCAAACTACACTATTAACCAAACTACATTGTATTAACCAAGCTACATTATTAACCAAACTACGTTATTAACCAAACTACATTGTATTAACCAAACTACATTAACCAAACTGCATTGTATTAACCAAGCTACATTATTAACCAAACTACATTGTATTAACCAAGATACATTATTAAACAAACTACATTGTATTAACCAAGATACATTATTAACCAAACTACGTTATAAACCAAACTACATTGTATTAACCAAACTACATTAACCAAACTACGTTATTAACCAAACTAGATTGTATTAACCAAACTACATTATTAACCGAACTACATTATTAACCAAACTACGTTATTAACCAAACTACATTATTAACCAAACTACGTTATTAACCAAACTACATTATTAACCAAACTACATTATTAACCAAACTACGTTATTAACCAAACTACATTATTAACCAAACTACGTTATTAACCAAACTACGTTATTAACCAAACTACATTATTAACCAAACTACATTATTAACCAAACTACATTATTAACCAAACTACATTATTAACCAAACTACATTATTAACCAAACTACGTTATTAACCAAACTACATTGTATTAACCAAGCTACGTTATTAACCAAACTACATTATTAACCAAACTACATTATTAACCAAACTACGTTATTAACCAAACTACATTATTAACCAAACTACGTTATTAACGAAACTACATTATTAACCAAACTACATTATTAACCAAACTACATTATTAACCAAACTACATTATTAACTAAACTACATTATTAGCCAAACTACATTATTAACCAAACTAAATTATTAACCAAACTACATTATTAACCAAACTACATTATTAACCAAACTAAATTATTAACCAAACTACATTAACCAAACTACATTATTAACCAAACTACATTATTAACCAAGCTACATTATTAACCAAGCTACATTATTAACCAAACTACATTGTATTAACCAAGCTACATTGTATTAACCAAGCTACATTGTATTAACCAAACTACATTGTATTAACCAAACTACATTGTATTAACCAAACTACATTGTATTAACCAAACTACATTGTATTAACCAAGCTACATTATTAACCAAGCTACATTGTATTAACCAAACTACATTGTATTAACCAAACTACATTAACCAAACTACATTATATTAACCAAGCTACATTGTATTAACCAAACATTATTAACCAAACTACATTGTATTAACCAAACTACATTGTATTAACCAAGCTACATTATTAACCAAGCTACATTGTATTAACCAAACTACATTAACCAAACTACATTGTATTAACCAAACAACATTGTATTAACCAAACTACATTGTATTAACCAAACTACATTGTATTAACCAAGCTACATTGTATTAACCAAGTTACATTGTATTAACCAAACTACATTATTAACCAAACTACATTGTATTAACCAAACTACATTGTATTAACCAAACTACATTATTAACCAAATTACATTGTATTAACCAAACTACATTGTATTAACCAAGCTACATTATTAACCAAGCTACATTGTATTAACCAAACTACATTGTATTAACCAAACTACATTGTATTAACCAAGCTACATTGTATTAACCAAACTTCATTGTATTAACCAAGCTACATTGTATTAACAAGCTCATGCCTACATTGTATTAACCAAGCTACATTATTAACCAAGCTACATTGTATTAACCAAACTACATTGTATTAACCAAACTACATTGTATTAGCCAAGCTACATTGTATTAACCAAGCTACATTATTAACCAAGCTACATTGTATTAACCAAGCTACATTGTATTAACCAAGCTACATTGTATTAACCAAACTACATTGCATTAACCAAACTACATTGCATTAACCAAGCTACATTGTATTAACCAAGCTACACTGTATTAACCAAGCTACATTGTATTAACCAAGCTACATTGTATTAACCAAGCTACATTATTAACCAAGCTACATTGTATTAACCAAGCTACATTGTATTAACCAAGCTACATTATATTAACCAAGCTACATTATATTAACCAAGCTACATTATATTAACCAAGCTACATTGTATTAACCAAGCTACATTGTATTAACCAAGCTACATTGTATTAACCAAGCTACATTGTATTAACCAAGCTACATTGTATTAACCAAGCTACATTGTATTAACCAAGCTACATTGTATTCAGAATAAAGTATAAAGTTTTTCTCCGACGCACCAATTAAATATGAATCGAAATGCACTTTGCAGAGTCCTCCAGACTTTCTAAATTATTTATTTTTTTTTTTCAGGCCAGATAATCTGCGGCATACAGACCCGGGTTGAGGGTAAACAAGGGAAAGGTGACGACACAGCTCTTAATGATGCTATATTCTACTGCTGTTAAGCACGAAAGTGTTATATCACGTCCTGTTAAGAGCTTCCAATTAGCTATACGAAATCTACTATTATTGTGAATTTGGAAGATTTTTGGGTAAGTTTAGAGAAGAGGACGTGATGGTATCATGAAGAAATGGATTCAGGGTATTTTATTTTCTGCTAGTTAAAACGGTGGTTTCCTAATTTTTGCTAAAACTCTCAGCTGGTCACTCACATGGCCTCTGTACCTAGGCCTATTGATAAAATGCAATGATTTTTATTGGTTAGTTTCAAAAATGTGTTACAAACATAAGAAATCTGATATATATTCATAAATTAACTATTTTGTGTATGTTTACTGAAGTGTTTTATAACATAAAAATGAATATTGACCAACTGATGATGCTTATGTATTCACATAATAAAAACTGCATTTTTGAAAAACTTAAGTATTTAAAACCCACACTTACAAAAATTGGAAATCCCTGAAAATTCAATGACTACTCTGATGGATTTTCTTTAAATTCCACTAATCCTATGAGCTCAATATGGAAATATGCGATAATTAATAGGTAAATGCTCTGAAGCAGCTCCAGTCATTGAAATTTCTGGTGTGATATTACTGACTCAGACGAAATTGGTAACCAGAAAGGCCGTCACTTTGCCTAGGTTACCTATGGGCCACACGCAGTTGCATTTGAGAATATAATTACAAATACAGAAAAACTGATACTTGTATTTTGTGTTGTGATGAATGTCATGTGTTTTGGCTTGCTGTCTGAGGTCATGAACCCTTTATAGACTTGGCAAACAGGAGTAAGTTGGAGTAAGCAGGAAAAGAAGGAAGAGAATGGAAGAAAGTTAGGAGGAGACATCACTTCCGATGGAGGCTTTGTGGAGATAAAGGAGCGTTGGGTCTTGTGGAAACCACACCTGAGGAAAGTAGTTATAGTGGAATTACAGAGGATACCGGGTCTTGGAAATATCTTATTAATTCTTTAAGTATATTTCTCTATATTCAATTCTCCTTTGTCTCAGCATTCCTTGACAGAGATTAAATAAATCCTTAACCCGTAGGTTTTAAATTTGAGTCAATTTCCCAGTACCCAACATTATATATAACCATTATTATTTGTGTACTCAATTTAGATTTTTAATACAACGACTCTCTTCCACCACGGCAATGTGACACGAAGAAGAAGAAAAAACTTTCACCGTTACTTACTCCATCACTGTCTTGCCAAGGTGCTGATTCTACAGTTCAAATGCCCCTCCAAACTGCAACATATCTCTACCCCTGTACTTTCCACCTCCTTGACTAATACGGCTAACCGGTTTCCTTGAATCTCTTCATAAAAGTTACCTTGCTTACACTCCAACAGCACGTCAAGTCACGAAAAAACACTTCCCTCCACTCTCCTCCAACACGCTAATACATGCCTACTGGACATCCAAGCCCTTCGCAAATAAAACCTCCTTTATCCTCTCCCTCCAACCGCCTTATTTCCACTTCAGATTTATACACCCTCCAAATCAACCCATTTTTGTCCATCTACGTGTTCAAACCATCTCAACATCAACAACCCTCTTCAGCCCTTGGGATAATATATTTTTTAAACCCTCACCACCTCCTAATCTTCAAATGACGAATTCTCTTCATAATATTCACACTATGTCAGACATGACATTTCCACTCCCTCCAGCCTCCTCACTGTCTACCATATGATGTTTTTAAATGATTTAAAGTATTATGAAACATAGTCCAACAGTTGAAACAATAGTGAAGCCTACATTGACGGATCAACTGAGAACATTACATACAGGCTCCGCTTCCCAGAAATATGGAGAGAATGTCAGGTGTGTAGAATAAAGGCAGTGCGTGAGGGCACGACTGGGTTGGGTTAGTGGTCCAGGGTAACTCCGGTCATTGCGTACTAACCTTTATTCTCCACAGGAGACAGTGTAAATATAACAGATTGTGGTTTGTCCAGGTTGTCAGTTAGGGGAGTTAGCTAACCTTAACGCAAACCCCAGTGAACCAAGTGTATACTTCATACACCTAGGGTACTTACATGCAAGGTGGTAACTGTGGGTGCATCTGTATACCTGTATACGGCTTCGTTGTAGCGAGTTTCACAGTATTTTACAGGTGGCCCGCGGTCCACGATGAGAGTAGACCTCGCCTGCTCACTAGTGTTAAGTGACCAAGGCTCCCAGCCACGCCGGCCTTCCCCAGGGCGCCTTTTGGCAGGAAAGGGGGTGCCTAAGGCGTTTATAGTGAATGGAAATTATAACTACGTTAAGCTAGCGACTATAACTTAGCCCAACTAAATATAGTATTAAGCAGTAATTGTAGTGCATAGTCTAGGAGTTGCGAGGCTAATTCTTAAAATTAATTATATACAGAAACGACCCCTCTCTTAAGCATCATCTTTCCCTTCTTATGCCCCATTTCCCCAAATGGGGGATGGGTATAACGGATTCTGTAAAATACGCGATATTTTCCAAATCAGGGACTTGTAACTTTTTCTTCTATTTCATATTCGATAAGACAAGTTTTAAATCGTCCTTAACACTTTTGATGACATATACGATGGTCAGTCAGGCTGTCAGAAATTATGTGGGCGAATTTCACGAGTACAGTCTAGAATTAACACTTTACAGAACTTGGGAGAGCTCTAAATAGTCGATAAGGTGACATGTACGTTGTGTTGTCTCTCGAGGAGAGACAGTGTCGTGGGGTCGAACGCTGGCCTGCCGCAGTTTGGTAAATGATTCAAAACCACTTGCTTCGAGGTTCCATTGTTATATAGATCTATCTTGGATATATGTGGGACTTTAGTGACAAAGGGTAACAACACTGCCCCTCCTTCAGTGTCCACCGTCACAGTTCCCCAACTTCAGTGACGATGGTCACAACACTGCCCCTCCTTCAGTGTCCACCGTCACAGTTCCCCCAACTTCAGTGACGATGGTCACAACACTGCCACTCCTTCAGTGTCCACCGTCACAGTTCCCCCAACTTCAGTGACGATGGTCACAACACTGCCACTCCTTCAGTGTCCCCCCGTCACAGTTCCCCCAACTTCAGTGACGATGGTCACAACACTGCCACTCCTTCAGTGTCCACCGTCACAGTTCCCCAACTTCAGTGACGATGGTCACAACACTGCCACTCCTTCAGTGTCCACCGTCACAGTTCCCCAACTTCAGTGACGATGGTTACAACACTGCCCCTCCTTCAGTGTACACCGTCACAGTTCCCCAACTTCAGTGACGATGGTCATAACACTGTCCCTAATTCAGTGTCCACCGTCACAGTTCCCCAACTTCAGTGACGATGGTCACAACACTGCCCCTCCTACAGTGTCCACCGTCACAGTTCCCCAACTTCAGTGACGATGGTCACAACACTGCCCCTCCTTCAGTGTCCGCCGTCACAGTTCCCCAACTTCAGTGACAATGGGTCACAACACTGCCCCTCCTTCAGTGTCCATCGTCACAGTTCCTCAACTTCAGTGACGATGGTCACAACACTGCCCCTCCTTCAGTGTCCACCGTCACAGTTCCCCAACTTCAGTGACGATGGTCACAACACTGCCCCTAATTCAGTGTCCACCGTCACAGTTTCTCAACTTCAGTGACGATGGTCACAACACTGCCCCTCCTTCAGTGTCCACCGTCACAGTTCCCCAACTTCAGTGACGATGGTCACAACACTGCCCCTAATTCAGTGTCCACCGTCACAGTTCCTCAACTTCAGTGACGATGGTCACAACACTGCCCCTAATTCAGTGTCCACCGTCACAGTTCCTCAACTTCAGTGACGATGGTCACAACACTGCCCCTAATTCAGTGTCCACCGTCACAGTTCCTCAACTTCAGTGACGATGGTCACAACACTGCCCCTCCTTCAGTGTCCACCGTCACAGTTCCCCAACTTCAGTGACGATGGTCACAACACTGCCCGTCCTTCAGTGTCCACCGTCACAGTTCCCCAACTTCAGAGACAATGGGTCACAACACTGCCCCTCCTTCAGTGTCCACCGTCACAGTTCCCCAACTCACAACGAGACTTTAAAATTACGAACACATACACGTCTTGAATATTTACTAGTCAACATTTAAGCCAGTAAACCTGGCATAATTAGAGGACTGTGTGATTAAGGATAAGTTATTTGGGCTTGACAACTTTAAGTAATTTGTTAGTATCTTATTTACAGATTATTATACACACAATTTCATATTCAGTCAAATTAATAGATTAATTATAAACATAAATGCACTTACCAATTTATTCTTTAGTTTAATAGCTTAATATGTTTATTATGCACCCCATACCCATCCTGTGGCGGTAGTCAAAAGATTACAGAGGTACATAATGGGTCCGGGGACTGGACTCCAAAGTTTTGATAGCTGAGCAAGTTACAGAGGTAATGAACTCACAATTTACAAAGGTAATGAACTCCAGGTAGGTCTGGTCACAATCATGACAAGCTACAAAGGTATTTACAGATTACAGAGGTACGTAATGGGTCCAGGGACTGGGCCCCCAAAGTTTTGAAAGTTGAACTAGGTACAAAGGTAATGAATCCTGTAAGAATGGTTACTTACGTTTATACATGGCTACAATCATGAACAAATTATAGAGTAATGAGCTATTCACACTTCCACACCCGGTCACAACTGTAATGAGTTATTCTATTCTATGGGTGGTATATCTTAACGCCGCCCAACAAGAAGTTATACTAAATATTGGCCAATACTACCTATCTTACATGTTTTGTGGTTTAATATCATATATGAAGAGTTACGGTGCCCCGTGGCCTGGTGGAAAAAGCTCTCGCTTCACACGGTGAGGATCCGGGTTCGATTCCCGGAGAAGGGTGAAAACACTGGACGTGTTTCCTTACACCAGTTGTCTATGTTCACACATCAGTAAAATTGGTACATAGATGTTAGTCAACTGGTGTGGGTCGCATCCTGGGACAAACTGACCTAATTTTCCCGAAGTGCTCTGCATAACAAGCTGCTTTCTATATACATGTAGTAGTATGTCACTGATGTCAGCTAAACCTGTATACCTTGTACGTGTACTTGTACAAGAAAGGTATAAAATACCGACAATATGAAAGTTAAGACACATGTGCAACATCTGGTTATCTTTATTGTAGACGTTTCGCCATCCAGTGGCTTTATCAATACAGATTCTAGGACATAATTAGAAGACAGTAGAACTATATACAAAAGATGAGGTAATCAGTCCTTCAGCCTTGGAGTTATTGTTCACAGCATCGTTGTGGTGGAGATTCTAGAGCAAAGACAAGAAGACTGGCGGTTATATAGGCGTCAGTGGATAAGGACGTATAGCAGACGAGGGCATAGTCACTGGTAGGCGGGATTTCCCAGTGGAAGTAGGTCCTACCCAAAGGGATGGGTTAGTT